CCCCGCTTCATCTCGCTGCCTTGCCGAGGCCAGCCCCACTGCTCGGTGCCCCAGGCCCAGGCCCAGCTCTGAGCCCCTTCAGGCACCACGTGTTCAGGGGCAGGGACACGGGGCTGCTCCCTGTCCCGCTCCCGGGCTCCTGCCCATTCCTCGTCTGCCAAGTGGGCGGCGGGTCGGGGGCGAGGAGCATTGATGGGGAGGGGGGAGCAGGGGCTGCAGGTTGGGAGTGAGGGGCACCAGCAAGCTTCATGGTGCATACTCACGCTCTGGCTGCAGAGCCGTGGCCCCCCAGGCCTTTCGGGGCCCCCAGTCCGGCCCCGTCAGTCGCGGGGCCCTGCCTGGTGCCAGCCGGGCCGGCTTGGCCCTTCTCACCGTGCTCCTTTCCTCTCTGCCCTCAGGAAGCAAGACTCAAGGCGTGGTGCAGGGCGTCACCTCAGGTACCCGCCACCCCCCGCTCTGGGCCCTGTGCCCGGGGAAGCCGCACTAACGAGATCAGAGGCCACGGGGGCCTTGATGCCACCAAAGCCCCTTGCACAGCGGAGCAAAGGATCCAGCTGCCCCCAGGCTGCAAGGAGCGGGGGCACCGGGTTGTCCTGATGGGGTTGGGGGGAGACTTGCTGCTACCCCACGGGGGCTGAGGGGCCCTGATGCCTGTGGGGGGGGCAGCGATGGGTGCGGGGTGATGCGGTGTGCCTTGCAGTGGCTGAGAAGACCAAGGAGCAGGCCTCCCAGCTGGGCGGCGCCGTCTTCTCGGGGGCCGGCAACATCGCGGCCGCCACCGGGCTGGTCAAGAAGGAGGAGTTTCCCACTGACCTCAAGGTGAGCGCTGGACGCCCACGACTCCCCCTGCTCCGCCCGGGGGCTGCCGCGTGGGTCCCTGCCCCACGGCTGCTGCGTGCCCCCCCACACAAGGCCACGGGTGTGCACGTGCGCGTGTGATGGGGCGGCGGCGGCCAGGTGTGCGTGCGCAGGGGACCCGACAGCTGTGGGCTCCATGGCATGGGGGGAGGGAGCTGGACCGTGCTGAGCCGCTCGCTTCCAGCTTATCCCAAAATAGCAACAGCTCAGAAATGAGGCCACGGCTGCTGCCAGCCAGCCAGCCAGCGCCGCGTGTGTGCATGTGTGTGCACGCGTGTGTGCGTGCGTGCATGTGGGGGCGGGCTGCTGGTGCCCCCCCATGACCTGTGCCAGCTGGGCCGTGCCAGGCCGGGAGCCCCCAGGGATTGGGGCCTGGAGCATCCTGCTGCTGCCTCGGGAATCACCCTGCGCTGGAGACCCTGAGTAGAGACCGTGACCCCCCCAGAGGGAGGTGAAGCCCCCCCACCCCCAGTCTGAGCAGGGGTCAAATCCCTTCCTGCCCCCAGTGCAGCATTGGTTTGAGCCTGGGCGCAGGGGCAGGACCCTCCAGCCAGGCCCCTGTGGGGGTGGTCCCAGCAGGAGCATTGGCGCAGCCAGGCCCCAGCCTGGGCTGCAACCAGTGCCCGGCACTGCTGAGGAAGGGGGAAACCCTGACACCAGGAGGGGAAAACACCCCTTCCCAGCCCCGCACCAGCAGTACCCAGCACCCTGGGACACATCGGACCCCTGCACTCCTGGCGGGGTGGGGCACCAGCACAGAGGAGCTGGACCCGCCTGGCGCATGTGCCCCGAGGCCCAGCCCCCAACCTGGCCCGGGGGTGCGGGACACGGAGCACGGGGGCATGAGCTGGTGCTGATGGCGCGGCCCGTCCTTGCAGCCGGAGGAGGTGGCGCAGGAGGCTGTGGAGGAGCCGCTGATCGAGCCCCTGCTGGAGCCGGAGGGCGAGAGCTACGAGGAGCCACCGCAGGTGAGACAATCGTCCCCCGGGGTGGGAGGCAGAGGGGTCCCCAGGACCAGCCCCTCCCCTCGCCCCGTGTGGCACGACTAGGGGCCTGTGCCAGCTGCATGCCTGCCAGGCGAGACCGGGGGACAAGGCCGAGCGACCCCGAGGCTGCTCTGGCTCGCGCAGGGCTGCGCTCATGGCCTGCTCCCGCCGCAGGAGGACTACCAGGAGTACGAGCCCGAGGCGTAGCAGCTGCGGCCCCGACTCTTCCACCAGCAGCACAAGACCCAAGCCGCCCGTGCCCGCCCCCCGTGCTGGGGCCAGCGGGCAGTGGAGCCCCGTCCCCCCATCCCTCACGAGTTCTTCCTCCGGTCCGGCCCCAGGGACCTGGCCGCGTCCATGTCTCCATGTCGTGTTGTGTAGCGTGCCCGGAGCCCCCCCTGCTGCCCGTGTGACCAGGCGTGCGCACCCCGTGTCCCTCCCGGGGCTGCCCACCCTGCGCCCACGCGTGTGCTGCCCATCCCGCTGTACATTGGCCTGCACGTGCCTCGGCCCCCTGCCCCGCAGCCCCCCCTTTCCGCTCCCACGCTCTGTGTTGTGACCGTGGCATGGACGTGCCCCCCGCTGTCGCCGTGTGTGTCGTGTGCCGCGGGCGGCTGCCAGTGACACAGCCGCCCCGTGTCCGTGAATAAAGACAACTCCTGTCTGTAGCTGCCGCCTCTGGCATCTCTGGGCTGGGGGGGCACCACAGGGGCCTTGGGGTCTGTGCAGTGGAGCAGGGGTAGGGGATGGCTCTGACCCGAGGGGCAGGGCAGTGCCCCCTTCCCTGGGCCTGCTCCCTGCTGTCCAGCTGCAGAGGTGGCGCCGGGGAGCCCAGGTCTGCACGGTGCCCGCGACTTGGGTGCCCTGCAGGCCACCTTCCACTGCCGTGTCCATGGGGCCGAGTGCTTTCCTGCCCGGCCCAGTAAAAACATTGCTGCGAGCTGCTTGCCGCTTTCCTGGGCGCTGCATACCTGCTGCAGCCAGCGGCCCTAGCCGGAGGGTGGGGGAACACGGCAGGAGGAGGCCCCTGCGCAGAGGCCTGGAGCTACTGAGCACGCAGCGACCACCATGCTGCGCCCAGTCCCCCGACACCCCTGAGCCTCCTGGATGCCCCCCCTCCTCCCTGCTGCTGGGGGAAGCCGGGCTCCAGCCACCCCCGCCTGCGGGCAGCCACCAGACCAGTTAGCTCCTGGCCGTGCGGCTCGCCAACCTCCGGCCTGAGAGCCAGCAGGACCAGAGCCAGCGCCCGAGGGCAGGGAGCGGGCAGCTGGGCCTGCATCCAGAGCTGGGCCGGAGACAGCACCAGAGCCCCCACCCGCCGCAGCCCTGCACACAACAGCTCTGCTGACACTGGCAGCTCGGGTGCCAGCTCCATGCTCAGCACTTCTGCCCCCACACCCGCCGGGTATTTAACAGCTGTGGCTGCAGCCCTGGGCAGCACAGACCTCCTCCACCCAGGGGCAGCAGGACTGAGCGCAGCACCATGAAGAAATCCTTTGACAGTCTCCGCGGGCAGACGCAGGCTGCGGCCAAGGGCATGACAGACTCTGCAGGTCAGTGCCCAGGGCCAGGAGGGGCTGCCAGGGCAGGCTTCCCACAGGCCTGGCGTGCTCAAAGCTGCAGAGCCAACTGGGGGAATGGGGGGGCCTGTACCCCCAGGGCCTGGGGGCAGAGGGCCAGACCCCCAGCTGCCTTGTACCTAGCTCCCAGGACCAGCTGCATCAGCCCGTGGGGAGGGAGCACTGAGGAAGCCAGCTGCACTGCTGGGGAGGGGCTCATCCCTGCCACAAGCCAGGCAGGCTGCCTGGGCCGCCGCAGGACTGGGACCTGCAGCTGGCTTGGCCTGGATGGCTGGGAGTCACCCACCGTCTCCCCTCTCCTAGTCCTGGCGGCCCGGGAGGTGTTGCAGCAGGCGGCAGACACGTCCAAGGAGGGCACCCGGACAGGTGAGTGGGGGCCACAGAGCAGGGGGGCATGGCTGGCTACCTATGGGGGCACCGTTCACCTAACCGCCATTCTCTCCTCCCCCCCGTGCTGCCCAGCTGCCGAGGAGGCGACCAAACAGACGCAGAGCACCATCAGCACGGCAGCCTCCAAAGCGCAGGAGGCCATCAAGGGCCTGGGGCAGAAACTGGCATAGCCGGGCCATGGCCACGCCTGGAGGGGGGCGACGCAGGCACACGTGGGACACGGGCGTGCTCCAATAAACCCTTTATCAAGGCACCGTGCTGCATGCAGCTGCTTCCCCAACACACCCAGCCTGGGCAGCTCCTGCATGTGCTGGGGCTGGAGTCGCAGGGCGGACAGCCCTAGCCCCTGGTGCAGCCTGGTCAATACGTGAAGCCAGCCTCGTTGTACACCCTGAAGACTTTCTCCAGGGCACAGAGGTAGGCGGCCGTGCGCTGGTCCAAGCCCAGGTCGTACTGCTGGGCCGTGCTCATAATTTGCTAGGAAACAGGGAGTATGGAGGTGAGGTGCGGAGGCTGTGGGGGGTGGCAAGGGCAGTTCACGCTCAACCCTCCTTGAGTGCTCCTGGGCTGCACATGCAAGTGGTGCTGCTGCCCTGACACAAAGTGGTCCCTGGGCCTTCCCCCTGTCCCACCCGCAGCTTTGGGCAGGGCCGTCCCTATCCCCTGCCCCACGGGCTCAGCCAGGAAGCAGCTCTCCCCAACACTCCCAAAGCAGCCAGCTACAGCAGTCCTCTGTCGCATGGAGACAGAAGCCAGGAGCCAGCACTGAGGGAGGGGGCCACCTTCCAGTGCCAAGGGAGGGGGTGGCAACAGGCCTCAGCCTGATCCCAGCAGGCAGACACCAGGGTGCACTCGTGGGAGGGTCCGTTCACAGCAGCGACATGGAGGTACCTTGGCCGAGCGCTCCATGGTGTAGGCCAGCCCTGAGTGCACGATGTCCTTCTCTGAGGCGCCCTGCGTAGGAACAAGCCAATCTCAGAGAGGCAGCTCTCCTCCTGGCCCAGGCTGCCTGTGGGGCTGGGGGCCTCTGCATCACCCCTGCACCAACCAGGGCTTTGGGGGCATTGCTCTGCTCTGGCTTGGGGCCAGCGGGGTCTGTGCTGCGGGATGTGATGTCTGGGTCTCCTGTGCTGGCTTGGGGCAGTGCCAGGCAGGACCCACCCCAAGCTGTGCCCTCATGGCACCACACACATCTCGCACCCCAGTCCCCCATGCCTGATGATGAGCTCAGGGCAACCCCCTCCCCTGCCTCCGTGGCTGCCCCACATCATGCTCCAGGGCTGGTTGGACCCAAAAGCCAAAGGGCCAGTGCCTACAGCCCCCAAGTCTGCCCCAGTCCTGGCCCCCACATTACCAGGGCTGTGCATTCACCTGGACCTGCACACCTCCACCCTGGCCAGGCACCTCATGTCACTTGCCCCCAGGGCTCGCACAAGTCCCACAGGACTGTCAGAGACCAGAAGCCAGCCACGTTGGCACAGAGCAGCAAGGGGCCCCACACTGGATGCCAGCTGTGTGCCCGCAGTGCCCATGGGTAGGGGGGCAGCTGCAGGGAGCCCTTGGAGCTACCCTGACCCATGCCCTGCCTCAGTGGCTCCAAGCACCCCACAGACAGGGGCAGCTGCCCCAGTACCACACTTGAGAGGTGACAGCACTCCAGCCCTGGCTTCCCTGGGCCCAGCCGGGCTGGGCCGAGCAGACTCACCGCCACGCGGGCCTGGAACTCCGGGGAGGGCATGATGGGGAGGTCGCCGTGGGCACGGCCCAGGCCCCGCTCCAGGCTCTGTTGCACGGAGAGCAGCAGGTGGTGGTTGGAGTCGCGCTCATACTTGAAGGTGAGGCGCCCATAGCTCACATGGTTCAGGTTCTTCAGCCACTCAAAGAAGGACACGGTCACGCCGCCCGCGCTCACGTACAGGTCCTGGGACAGGGGCAGCACTCATGGCTTGCAGGGGCCCAATCAGCGCAAGTCCCAGCAGCAGCCTCCCTCCTCCTACCCCAGTGCCCCCCAGACTGTGAGACCCAGTGTGGGCAGCACCTTCTCTGGGCCCCAGGGGATGCTCCTAGGCACTGTGCTCTCTGCCTCGGGGGTGACCAGGGCCTCAGGGCAGTCAAGTGATGGAGCAAAGGCTCCTGTGTGCTGGCTGCAGGAGGCACCCAGAGCCCCGGGGGAGATGCTGCCCAGCTAGTTCAGCCTGCACCTAACCCAGGCTGCCTGGCCAGGCTCCACAGCTGCATGAACCAAGCTCCTCCAGCTCCCTAGGCCAAGCTGGGGATGGAGGATAGCACTCCTGCTCCCCCGGTCCCAACATACCGGGATAACAAGGATGTTCCTCTTGAGGAAGATCTCATGTGCTGCTGGTGTTGTGGGGCCGTTGGCTGCTTCAGCGATAATCTGCAAAGCAGGGACAGACCCTGTGTGAGACAGATGATGCCCAGCAGCAGGGACTGGCTGCCACCTCCTCCCATCCTCATGCCAGCCCAGTGGATGCCTGGCAGGCAACTATGGGACTGTCCAGGCTGCACCCAGCAGAAGGCCCTGGGTCTGTACTGGAACCAAGGGCTCGCATCTCGACTTCAGGAGGGAGCAGAGGCCCAGCCGCCTTGTGCTCGGTGCACCCTGCTCCACTGATGTCCCAGGGCAGAGGGATGCCTGGGGCCTGTGACCATGCTGGACTGCCCCAGCCCTTGCAACTCCTCTCTCCGGGTACCTCCAGACACCTCACCCAGGCTCTGGGCCAGCAGCACACAGGGAGCGTGTGACTCACACTCTGCTGCAGCGGGTCACAGCCCCACACTCCCTCCATACAGCCGTAGGGCTGCTGACACCCAGCTGGACACAGGCACCAAGGGCCGGGCTCCCATGGGCATGGCTGCAGGGTGCTTCCTACCTTGGCGTTGACCAGGTGGGCATTCTCTGCTGTGAGCTGCCTCTCTGTGGCAGCTGGGATAAGGATGTCACAGGGCACCTCGAGGACGCTGCCTTTGTAGGGCTCTGCTCCTGGAAAGCCAACGATGGTGCCATGCTCCTGGCAGGACAAGGACAGTCCATGGCTGATCTGTGCATGGCCCTGGGGCCAGTGCAATCCCAGTCCCCTCCCCACTGGTTTCTTCAGCCTGCCCGGCTGCACTGTTCAGGTGTCTTGTTGGGGGTCTCTCGTCACCCTTGCCCCCCAGTCCGGCAGCAGCACATACCAGCTTGTAGTCTGCCAGCTCCTGGGGGTGGATGCCATCGGCGTTGTAGATGGCGCCGTCCACCTCACCGACACAGAGGCAGCAGGCGCCGCAGCGGTGCAGGTACCGCATCGTGTGCAGCCCCACATGCCCGAAGCCCTGGTGGGGAGAGGAGAGGGCACAGGGCCTGTGCTGAGCTGGCTACACGCATGTGCCACAGCTGAGGCCCTCCAAGGCACCCCAAACCAAAGCCCCCTCAAGCCCTGCAATGCCACATCCAGCTGGCTGCTCCCAAGAACCTTGGATGCCATCTCCTGGCAGCTGGGAGCAGGCACATGCGTGGGCCTGGGAGCAAGGGGCTGTGGTGGGCCTAAGAGAACAGCATCACCCAGACCCCCTCGCCGCCCAGGTCACAGATGTGCTGGGTCCCTCTTCCCTCTACAAAAGTCACCAACTTTAAAGGAGACTGGGCAGTCATCTTGCTGGGGTCACTTGACCCCAGCTGTCTTTTCCTGCCTAGTGCAGGGGGACTGGACCTGATGATCTACAAGGTCCCTTCCAGCCCCTAACAATCTATGAACCCCTCGGTATCAAACTTCAGTAGGAAAGAGCCAGGCAGGGATTTTGTGGGGCCACCTTTTTTTATTGGAGCAGTGGCAGTGCTGGGATAAAGCCAGGCAAGTTTTCCATGGCAGGTATTCCTCCTTGGGTCTGAGCTGTATCAACCCAGCCTGGCAGAGTCAAAATTGTAGTGAAAGGACTGGAGAACGGCTGGCAGCCCACTCCCCAGCCGGCCACCCTCCCGAAGCATCCTTGGTGCCGCCTTTGTTGTAGCTAGGCTCTTCCCAGGGCAGCATGAGCCTGGCAGCCCCCAGTACCTCTGCCCTGCAGCCAGAGCTCTTATTTTATCAAACCCCAAACTGCCCTTCTGGTGAATCCCTGCCTGGCAAACAGCCAGGGACACTGCAGCTCCTCCTCAGCTCCACAAAGTCCTTAGGAAGTGGAGGATCTCCTGGAAATGAATCTGCAGAGCAAAGGTGATGGATGACTCAGAGACATCAGCTCCTGGCATGAGCCTGGCTCTGCCAGCTGAGGCTTCCACCCCGCTCAGTCTCATTTCTCTCACCAGAAGCTGGGAGGCAGCCAAGGCAGTGTCCCACAGAGCAGGGTCATGGCCAGCAAGAGAGGCTAGGAAGGAAACTGTGGCCAGCCCAGCCTCGTGGGGGATTGTATTTGCTCCCCATGAAGGGTAGCACAGATACAACACAGACCTATGTCACCGGAGTCTGCAGGTCTAGCTCCCTGCCCCTCCTGGACTTGGCCTGCTCACTCAGCCCTGTCACCCTCTTGCCCCCACGCTCCTTCGCCAACTCTGTGGGAAAGGGGCTCAGCAAAGGCCTGGTGGGATCCATGCAGCAGGTGGGCGCACTGCATCCAAGGAATCCCATGGGAGGTTCTGGGCCGTGTCCATTTTGGAAGTGGCATCACTGGCTGGAGGAGGCCAAGCACCACGGCTCTGCAGGCCCAGCCATGGTTTTTCCACTCAGCTTCTGCACAGGAATTTGGTGTGTGACGGTCCAGGAAACCCTGGACATACCTCGCACTGCTGCAATCCCACGACTTGCTGTCTGAACAACACTGCCGTTGCCCATCGCTGCAGTGATGGACTTATTCCAGCCACATGATCAACCAGCAAATCTGCACTGCCCATGAGGGTGGAGGTGGGGGCTCTGTTGCCCACAGTGCAGCAGCACCAAGCTGGCAAGAGTCCTCTCCCAGGAGCATCTAAAAGCAGCCACAGCCGTGGAGCAAAGCATGGGTGTGACCTGCGCTTGCGTTCTTGCTGCTGCTGTGGGGATGCTGCAGGCACAGCCCACAGTGAGTGCCCACCTGGGACCCCTCTACAATGCAGGGAGGGTCCAGCAGCCCTGCAAACTGCTTTGCCCGGGCTGCTGGCAGCTGTGGGCCCCTTCACTGAGCACGGGTATCCTGGCACCACAGTGCGCAGGGCACTCGCCCAAGGGCCCACAGCCCACCTGGAAGATCAACTGTCTACTCCAGGTGTCCAGTGTCCATGCCCATCCTCTGCTAGCAAGCCCGGGTCACTGCACCCTCAGTGTAAACCAGTGCCCCCTGTACAGGCAGTCATGGGGCATTAGGCCCAGGGGAAGCTGATGTGCATGCTCTCTCAGTCCAGCTCTACAGCCAACTCTCGGACCACAGCACGTGCCACTGGCCTGTCCTTTCTCGTTTTCAGTGCTGCTCGACTGACCTGGATTTCCACTCTGTACCCACAGAGCTCCCTGCCTGCAGGGCCTGCCTGTCCTGCGCCTTGCATGGCTCACGCGGTCCCAGGGCCACAGCTCCGTGCCCTCTGTAGCCAGCTGCGGGAGGCAGCAGAACATCCCAAGGCAGGGGGGCTGCTTCCTCCTAGGGGTCCTGTGACAAGGCCACATGTCCCTGGGCAGGCAATGAATTCTCCCTCCACCCCGGTCACTGTCACTCAGTGCTTGGGGGTTAGGGTTAGGGTTAGGAAGGCTTTGGGTTGGCAGGGAGTGAGAGCCAGCAGAGCTGGGGTGAGGGGGCACATGGTGGGTAGTGGAGTCCCCCAGGGCTCGGTTCTGGGGCCTGCGCTGTTCAATTTCTTCATCAGCGATCTGGATGATGGGGTGGAAAGTAACCTGTTTAAATTCGCTGATGACACCAAAATTTGGGGGGAGGTGAGCACGCTAGCAGGGAGGGAGAGATTGCAGAGGGATCTGGATAGGTTACAGGGGTGGGCTAACAGGAACAGGATGCGTTTCAATATGGACAAGTGCAGGGTGCTGCACTTGGGCAGTAGGAACCAGCAGCACACTTACACAATGGGGAACTCCCTACT